CGGTGAATCTTGTTGAATAATCTCGGAGACGAAGTCGAGGGGATTATTCAACAAGATTCACCGAGCCTGAGGCAAATAATTGTTTTAGTATCATTGCCCGATATTTGGTACTTTTGGGGACAGCATTTTCTTTAAATTTGTCAATTTCGGCTTTCGTAACATTTACAAATCTAGCCGCAATTTTTGGCACCACTACAATGTAAACCCTAGAGGTGATTATCGAAAAATAATCAACTAGGTCTCGACCAATCAGCGCGCAGGATTTCCTATAATCACTCGGGTGATGATTTTGATGATACTAAGTATTATTATTCACTCCTGATCTAGATGTGAAGCCTGTGTGTGCTGTATGTCTCGCTTGGTGACTCACACAAGCACAGCAATAGTATCCATCCGACGTTGGACGGATGCCAAGAGTCGAGTAGGAAGTTTGGCTGTTTCCTCCCAGTCTAGGGCTATGCAGCAATATACAGCCTATAGCTAGGGCATGCGATATAGGCCCCTAATATATGGCTGCCTGCAGTGTTTCATAGAGCACCTGCAGTGTAACGCACTGTCTGTTTCCTCGGTCGGGTTGCGGTGTAGGTTCGTTGTGTGTTTCCTAGGCCAGAGCAGGCTACAGTGTAGGTGTGTTGTCTGTTTCCTAGGTCGGGTTGCAGTGTTGTAGTTTACTGGCTGTAGTATACTGGCTGTTCCCTAGGTTAGGCTGCAGTGTAACGCACTGTACGTTTCCTAGGTCGGCTTGCGGTGTAGTGTACTGGCTGTTTCCTAGGTCATGCTGCGGTTTAGGTGTGTTGTGCGTTTCCTAGGTCAGACACCAGTGTAGTGTATATACTGGTGGTTTCCTAGGTTAGGCTGCAGTGTAACGCACTGTATGTTTCCTAGGTCGGCTTGCGGTGTAGTGTACTGGCTGTTTCCTAGGTCAGGCTGCGGTTTAGGTGTGTTGTGCGTTTCCTAGGTCAGACACCAGTGTAGTGTATATACTGGTGGTTTCCTAGGTTAGGCTGCAGTGTAACGCACTGTATGTTTCCTAGGTCGGCTTGCGGTGTAGTGTACTGGCTGTTTCCTAGGTCAGGCTGCGGTTTAGGTGTGTTGTGCGTTTCCTAGGTCAGACACCAGTGTAGTGTATATACTGGTGGTTTCCTAGGTTAGGCTGCAGTGTAACGCACTGTATGTTTCCTAGGTCGGCTTGCGGTGTAGTGTACTGGCTGTTTCCTAGGTCAGGCTGCGGTTTAGGTGTGTTGTGCGTTTCCTAGGTCAGACACCAGTGTAGTGTATATACTGGTGGTTTCCTAGGTTAGGCTGCAGTGTAACGCACTGTATGTTTCCTAGGTCGGCTTGCGGTGTAGTGTACTGGCTGTTTCCTAGGTCAGGCTGCGGTTTAGGTGTGTTGTGCGTTTCCTAGGTCAGACACCAGTGTCGTGTATATACTGTCTGTTCCCTAGGTTAGGCTGCAGTGTAACGCACTGTATGTTTCCTAGGTCGGCTTGCGGTGTAGT